TTATGGTGCAAACCAATACAATATGACAACAATGGAAAGACGCAAGGAATTAAATAACAATATATGTAAAAAAATAATTTACTTATCAAGTCAATAGTTCGACAAACTGATGAGGTAACTAATCTACTAAGCAAGTAAATTACAAGTCTACTTACTACTTGGTAGTTACCTACCAACTCACTCTGAATCTGTCCTCGTTTTAATTTCGGACATCTGGCAATGCAACGATATTTCGAATTCGTAACTGATTAAGTTGTGAATATCCAAGTGATGACAATAAAAGAAGTCTCACTGTATTCATTTCACAACATTTTTCTAGAATCAAATTAAAGCCTGGAACACTCGAAAAACGCCATTCGATGACTTCATTCGTAGGTATAGAGCTAGATTCACTTATTACCGACATTCAAAAGTTTGCTAGTATTTCAATATAAGATATTCGGCTGAATTTGTCTCCTTTGCTAGCGCTTTTATCAACAGTCATCTTTGATTAAGCGCAGCCTTCATGCTAAACTTTTTTAATACTGTAGGTATAGTTCTTCTTAGGAGGGCTTCAGTGCTTAGTGAACTCATATATTCGAGCTTTACAACTTATAATTAGTATTCATTTCCTACATTTTTTTTTTCGTAAAGTTTCATTTGGTAATGACAAGAAGATTTCGATGAACAATGAGGTGCATTTTAAATTCGAGATCATTTCCATTATTCTCATGACCTTTACATTTGATTCATGGGCAATGCGGTAAGGAGAAACTAGAGCCCAGTCACTCACTCTTTGGGGTTTAATAGTTAATCCGTTACCAATGCACATAGATAGGTCTGTACAGACCTATCTATCTCGAAAACAAACCACTTCATAATTCGCTCGGCTCGAACTCAGTAATTCCTTGGGTGCATTCCAAATACACAACAATGACTATTATGAATGATGACCACGGGGTTCTTAGTCAAGATTCCTTCACGAATCTGATGCAGCACTCTAACCGCATTAAAATCTCTTTCTGATTTCAGTTTCTTCGCAAAAGGTTGTCGGGAAGATAGCGTAAAAGTGTATGTAACAACCCCGAAGGATATTGTGGGTAGTTTTCTGGTCAAGGTTCCTTGAACGGACATCAGAATTTCAGAGAATCTGAGAAAACGTCTCCGTAAGGCCGAGGAATCACGTGCTTGACGAAATTATTTGTTTATTTATTTATTGACCTTTTTAGATTCTTTCACTACCGGATACCCAGATCACCTTTCGAGATTGACGCCCGCACTTTTGTCCTACTTTTCCGACAGCCTTTCTCGAAACATCGCGTATATGGCGTAACCTGCAGCTAAGCGTCTATAGTTTCTCAATTGAGTACAATGACTAGCCCATACAATTCATGTGAAGATTAAGCAGGGAAACTGACCGCAACTTGCGTTGGTTCGGTCGTTGCTTTCCAAGGGATCCTTAAAGGTGAAAATCACTCCGTGACACTCAACAGAGTTTTGGCCTCGATCTCCGTACCATGACAAAGGGCCGTTGATAAGAGATTTGATTTCATATTCACAATCTTCTTCCAGATCGATTGGACAGTCAAACATTACATCAAAGCCAGCATATATGTAGGTCTTATCCATTTTGAATTCGGAGGAAGCGTACCTTCCCGACTGTTTTACAAGACAATTTGGCGGAAAATATTGGACATCGTCCACCTGCAAGGAAATAGTGTAATTATTTCCTATGGAGCCAAAATGCCTAACTCCACGAAGCCTGATAGGTTTATTGACTGAGAATCTTGCCTTGTCAGTCGCACCAAGGCCGTAAAACCAGTAGGCATAACTATCACCACTTGCAAGATATGGCCTAAAATATGTTAAAAATCTATGGCAGCGAAGAAAGTCTGTTCGCAGTCTTTTAACTCTTGAGAATGGTAAAGAAGTTATTGAAACGTTGCTGTAATATTTCATCATGTCTCCGTGCTCCTTAACTGTAAGAATGCCCGAATCCACAACAACATAGGCAAACTCTTTCTGGGACATCAAGGGAAACCTTATTGCTTTTACTATTTCTTCTCCGTGAATTCGTCTTCTCAAGTCGCCATCAGGAGTTCTCTCTTGCTTTTCAACTTTTCTTGTTGCCCACTGGTTAACTGCTTTAAATAGATCCACTTCCTTTATATTCAGCGTCTCTCTCTTCACAACAGACTCAACAACAGATCGTTCAACCGTAAAAAATTCCTCTGACGTCACAGCCTGATCTGCCTGCATCTCAATCACTTTCCAGTACTTATCTTCCAAGTCTTTCTCTTCGTATGTCTGAGCGGCAACTAGAAATTTAAATACATTTGATATTTCTACAAAGTCTCGCAAATACTCGGTACATTTATTCACGAGCGAAGGCACAATGTACTGCTTGGCCAGCTGCAACACCTGCAGTACATTACTTTCGCTCAAATTGACTTCGTCGTGGTATAAGAAACGAAAGAACTCCAAAAGACTTTCGTACTCATAATCGAGAATTTCAAAAGAGTTTCTGGTCTCCGCCACTGGACCATAAAACATGGCATAAAACACAGGACTGCTGATTGCAAGAATAAACTTGTGAGCTGGGATGACTCGCCCCAGGCCGAATGACGCTGGAACAACAAATCTTACGTCGCTTTGTAATTCCATGTTGAAAATAAATTTGGTTCTGTCTAAGACAGTAACACACTTTGTCTGCCAGTCTTCATCCGTAACCAGCGTATCAGAGGCGGCAGTTATGTCTGTAGCCACTAAAGTGCTGTAGTCAGCCCCTGAGATTTCGGAGTTTGCAGCCATCGTTGCTCTTACTGGATTGTGCGCTTTCCTTGATACACCTGCTCCCATGTTGTCTCACTTTATTTCCTTTCAACAGTGGTTTTGGGATCGAGAGATGCTAAGCAAAAATTGAGAAAACGAAGCAGAGGAGATCACGTTGAGGTATGCTTGCTGCTCGTGAATAAAAGGTGGACTTCTCAATTGTTATAATTATAATACGAGAGTGTTTTGCATCGTGGTTAATTGCGCAAATATTCAAATTGTTTCACAAAGTTATATTT